AACACCACCGGTTGCATTAAAAAAAATTTTAGTGCAAATGAGTTAATTAATATTTAACTCTTTGTATCTAAAATTTTTATTTATTACATTCGCGATAATATTTGTAACATCTTTTTCATTTTTCCAACTCGATCATTTTTCCTTCTCAATTAGCAAAATTATAACCGCAGTCTCATTTGAAACCGATAAACCTATACTTATCGAACCTCAAAACACCGGTAGAGTTAATTAATACCTAACTTTTTGTATCTACAATTTTTATTTATTACATTCGCGATAATATTTGTAACATTTTTTTCATTTTTCCAACTCGATCATTTTTCCTTCTCAATTAGCAAAATTATGACCGCAGTCTCATTTGAAACCGATAAACCTATACTTATCGAACCTCAAAACACCGGTAAAATTGCGCGCCAGTGTCTCGGCCGAAATTACAATAATAACCATCGTCCAAAGTTCGACCAACACCATAACTCATCCTCGTCCAGCGAATTTTCTGCTCGCCCAACACTCCCCATCGACCATGGTCGTTTTCCCGGTCGCATTGACCAGCGCGGCGCGACAGGATCCCGATCCCGATCCCCGGGTACCACGGATCTATCGCGTTCACCTACGTCTCCCCTCCCGCGTCATTTTGCACTACACTCTACCTCCTACCATGGTTTCGCCATTTCCCTCTCTCCGGCGAGCCGATGCACGATGCAGGGGAGAAAGACACGCCGCCTTCTGACCGGCTCGTAGTTGCTCGAAAACCTCTCTTACCTGCGCCGTGCGCTCGGTTTTATCCTTCGACACGCTTCCGATCGGCATCGTCGTCGCGCGCCCTGTCCGCCGCCGCCGCGCGAACCCTGACCTTCCGCCATTTTGGTCGCGCCGCCGCTTCCGGCACTTTACGCCGCCGCGTTACCGATCCAGCGATCTCGCCGCGGCGATCGATCCGACTCCGTCGCGATCATGTTCGAAATCGCGCGGCCAGCGCGCACGCTCGTCGATCCAATCGCGCCTCGCGGTGGTCAGCCGATGTTTTGATCCGTCTCTCGACCTCTCTCCTCCTCCCGGAGGAGCTGCCGATCATGAGATCCGGTGAGCAGATCTGACGATCTGGTCGAAGGATTTTTCCAACATCCTCGAAATCATCGCGAGTGAAATTCTTTCACTGACTTTCCATGTGCGCGAGTTCCCTTCGTCCGGATGTGACGAGATCCCAGTGTGTTCTTCGAGGATTCTTTGGGGTTCGTGCGAGTGGAGTCGATGCACTTTGGCAGTGCGCGTGTGTGCTTGATATCGTGTGAGATCGAGGATAGGGGAGTTGATTCTGTAAGTGAAGAACCAGAAGCTTGTAGATTATCGCGGGAAATTGGAATTAATCAAGCTAGGCAGTGTCTATGCATATTAAGCTTCTCAATATCGTGATTGCTAATAACGGAAGCAATTATAGATAGAGCTAGTATTGACAGTTTCGCTCGTTGATCGTTGCACACAGAATTTCGAGTCGATCTTTGACATTCCGTGGGACTGATTCTGTAAAGAATCCTGGATGAAGCATCTCCTCGATATCGTGACTGCTAATAACAGAAGCAGCGATAGAGCTAACATTGGCAGCTTATAAATCGTTGCTCATAAAAATTTCGAGTCGATCTGCTTCATCGGTGTCTATGTTTGACAGTGTCTATCCTGTGGGACTGATTCTGTAAAGAATCCTGGATCAGTCTTCTCCTCGATATCGTGATTGCTAATAAGAAAAGCAGTGATAGATAGAGCTAATATTGACAGCTTACAGATCGTTGCTCACAAAAATTTCGCGTCGATCTCCTTCCTCGGTGTCTATCTCTGACATCCTGTGGGACTGGTGCTGTAAAGAATCCTAGAGCAAATTGCATACCTAGTTACAACCTAGGTACAATCACCTAAACCTAGCCAGCAAAGGAACAATTAAAGAAGCAACCTCGATTTCATCGAAGGCTAGTAGAATAGGTCCAGAAGCTCGGCTCAGCCCGTGCTCCAATCGTGGCTTACTAATCGCTTTCTAGGAAGACTCCAGCGATCTATTCCACGCCACGATCCAACTTGGACATCTAGAAGTTGGATGGCCAAGTTTGGACACCGCGACGAATCCGTTTCCAGACGAAGCAGCCTCGTGCTTCGAACGGCTATTGACCAATCTGTCGTTTCACGGAAACAGCGTGGCCGATCTTGCCCGCGAGGAAGCCTGGGTCTAGGAGGCAGGAACGGGTCGTTCCCGGAAGCGGCGTTCCACGAGATCTGCATCCAAACAAATCGCTGACTCTCGATGGGAATCTCGGCGAGCTGAAACTCGTCCGGTCGAGAGTCGTCGAAAGGATCAACAGGTTCGCTATCTCGATAGAGCCGCAATCGGGATCGTGTGTTATCTCGGCAGGAAGCGGTCCAGGGATCTCGAAGCTGGATCTTTGATCGAGTGTTCCATCGTCCCGACGTCGGAGTTGCCCGTTCTGGCCGGCCAATCGAGAGAATAGCGAGGGTTGGTCGTAGGAGGATTAGATTGGCAAGTTGCCGGCAGACCGGAGGTGTTTCGTGAAATTCGAGGATGGAAATTCGGCGGTGAGGATCGTGGAGCACGTGCAGCGAAAGGTTAAGCCGTTTGACGCGAAGTTTGCGAGTGGGTTTCGAGATGAAAGTGTCTAACCGAGATTAGACTAGGTATCTGTAGGAGGATCGCTGGATCGTTCGATGATAGGCGACTCGATAGGTCTTTGAGCTAGAAG